GATGGAAACAGGATGGAATCCTACCATGCTCGTGGTTGGAGACTCAAATCATTAAAATGTCTATACTCACCCTAAACTGATCTACAGATTCAAGCAATACCGATTAATAATCCCATCAGCTCTTCACAGATATATAAAAAATAATTTTACGCTTGTATTGAACCGAAGAAGACCGTGAATATCAAGACAAATTTAGCAACAAAATACAAAATGGGGAGGTATTAATGTGTCAGATATCAAACTATTACTACAAAGCTGTAGTAATTAAAACAATCTGGTATGGCCAAAATAGGACATATTGACCAGTGCAACAGTAATCGAGAATCCTGATATAAAAACCATCCAATGAGCCATCCAATATTTGATCAAACAGGACAAAAATATACGCTGTGGGGAAAAGAATTCCTTTCAAAATGGTGCTCGGAAAACGGATAGCCACTTGTAGAAGGCAAAGCAAGACTCACACACCTCTCACCTCTCACAAAAACCCAACTCCACGCTTGATAACAACTTAAACTAAGGTATGAAAACATATAGAATTCTAGGGAAAATGGTTGAAACACTATCCTAGACATCGGCCCTACCGCAAAGAGTATGAAGAAGTCCCACAGCGCAATCAACGCAGCAACAAAAATAAATAAAATGGGACAGATGAAATAAAAGCTTCTGCACATCCAAGAAATTAGTCATGAAAGTAAACAGAACAGACAACCTACAGAAATGGGAGAAAACTGTTTGCATCTATTGTATCTGAATAATGACTGATAGCAGAATATACTTAAATTCACAAAATCAGCAAGAAAAAATCATTCTCTTTTAGAGAATCTGTGGCAAAGGTACTTTGACAGAAACTTTCTAAAGGAAGACCAAAAAGAATGGCCAACAAACAATGAAAAAATTGCTCATCATCTCTAATCATCAGGGAATGCAAATAAAACTACTATGAGATATCACTTAACTCCAGTGGAGAATGGCCTTATCAAAAAGTCTCCAAATAAAAAATACTGGCGTGGAGGCGGAGAGAGAGAAACACTCCTACACTGCTGGTGGACTGCAAACTAGTTCAAATCTGTGGTAAGCAATATAGAGATACCTTAAGTGATGTTGCATATATATTTAAAATTGTTATCTCTTCTTGTTGAAGTGTGCCCTTCACCATTATATAATGACCCTCTTTGTCTTTCACTACTTTTGTTGGTTTAAATACTAAATCGTCTGAAATTAGAACTGCCACGCCAGCCTCCCTTGGTTTCCACTGCCTGGAGTACTGATCTCCATCCTTTTACTTTTAGTCTATATGCATCCTTGCAGGTTAGATGTGTTTCCTGAAGTCAGCATATACTTGGCCTGTATTTTCTTATTCATTCAGCCAGCCTATGTCTCTTGAGTGGAGAGTTTAAGCCATTCACATTTATTGAGAGAACTGATAGGTATGGTAGATTACTGTTCATTCTGTTTGGTTGGATGTTGTTGCTTTGATTTCTCTCTTGAGCCATTGTAGTATCTGGCCTTTAGTCTTTGGGTTTTGGTTGATTTTATATTCCTCAGTTTTTCTTATGGTGTTCCGTGGATAACACTGTTTTGAGTACTTCTTGCAGAGCTGGTCCTGTCTTGCTGAATTCTCTGAGACTTTGCTTGTCTGAGAATGTCTTTATTTCTACTTCTTATATGAAGGTTAGTTTTACAGGAAATAAGATTCTAGGCTGGCCATTGTTTTGCTTTAAAAGAGTGAGAATGGGGCCCCAGTCTCTCCTTGCTTCTAAAGTTTCAGTAGCGAAGCCCGGTGTTATTCGAATTGGCTTTCTCTTGCATGTTACTTGCTTTTTTCATCTTACTGCT